GAAATAGAAACAAGCACTACTACTGTAACAATCTGAACAAAGAGTCATTGTTACTCAAGGCACTTACAACTGCTATGGATTCTATGGATACTGTATGATTTTTTAAAGCTATCAAACTCAAATTTGCACATGACCAGTAATGCTAAATATGACACTTAGCATGAAATATAGCAGAACCATATGTATATACATTTGTGTGTACATTTGCACATTTTACACTGATGTGGTATCTAGATTTTCCAAGTATGATTACAGAACAAAGGAAAACAATGCCAAGTCCTGCAAATATTGCATATTTTCCCCCTCCCCCACACTAAATTGCATTGCAGTATATGTGAAGACGCATAATTCTGGTTTTTCATAATCGTGAAAAAATTCAGAGAAATAATACCCATCAAAATATTGCTGAAACAATATTTTGATGTTATGCAAACATAACTATCATGCAATCGTTGTGAGAAGTTTACTTTGCTTGATGATGCATTATTCACCAATGGCATCTCTACTGGGGAAAAAAAAGAAGGAAAACTTGCTCTTGCTCAGATCCAACAAGCTTTCCCCTGTATCTTTTTATTTTCCTTTGAGGGGCCAGAGATAATTTCTTAACAAGTCTTCACTGATCTTTCCATTCTTTTGGCTTACAGCAGATTGAACATTAGCCATTTCCCTGCTGGTCAGGGCAACATGGTAAATGCCCCCTTGTCTGCTTAAGTCGTGTAATATGCAAAACAGTCAGATGAACAAATGTCAGCCCAGGTGGAAACCTGGAGAGCTACATTAGGTCATAAAAGCAGAATTTAACCAAACACCAGGGTCCTGGCAATAAAACTACAAAACCCACACTGTGTTGCCAAAAACAGAGGCTCAGGGGGCTTCTGTCAAATCTGAACATATTGGCACAAGGATTTGGTATCTCAGATTGCAGTCCTAGTTGGAAAGACTTTTTTCTTTATCGGTTTGCTTCACAGAATAGTCCACATGTGTTCTCTTGCAGTAAAGAAAAAAATAATAAGGATCACTAGGTTCTTTTTTTCAGTAGAGCAAAAGCTGTAAACATTTTGAAGAGATGTTAGTCTCAAAAAAGCGTGGTTTATTTTTAGTACCCTTCTATATATGCTTTAAATCTTACATACTGATTTTAAAGGGATCCCTCCTAGATAAGCAGAAGTCTTATTTTAGTCTTATTTAATAAAAGTTCCAGAAGATATAATTTTCCAATACAAGTAATCCTTGACTTATAATGATTCATTTAATGACTTCTGAAGTTACAACAGCACTGAAAAAAGTGACTCATGAGCATTTTTCACACTTACAACATTGCGGCATCCCCAGAGTCATGAGATCAAAATTCAGATGATGAGCAACTGGCTCATATTTATGACAGCTGCAGTGTCCTGGGATCACGTGATCTCCTTTTGCAATCTCCTGACGAGCAAAGTCAATGGGGAAGCCATTATCAATCATGTTACTAAGTGAACAACTGCAGTGATACACTTAACAACTGTGGCAAGAAAGATCGTAAAATGAGATAAACTGTCAACTGTTTTAACAACTGTCTCACTTAGCAACAGAAATTTTGGGTTCAATTAGGGCTGTAAATTGAGGATTACCTGTATATCATTGATTGTCAATGAATTACCATTCATGTTAAACAAATTAAAATTGCTATTAAAGCTGCATAAAGTATCAATATCAGAAACCATACTCAGCATAGTATAAACAACAAAATGAAATTATGAATTACGATAAACTATTCTAGGTTAGAAATTAAATAAGTTTAAAATATAGACTTTATGCACACAAAAACATGTATCTTGTGCATATTGAATTAGAATCTGGAAATGTTTACTTTTAGATGTGAAGTTATTCTGAACAGCAAAGTATATTTTGACAGTTTGGTTATCAATTCTTCCATAGAATGCATGAAACATTCTTTCCAATAAGAGATATATAGTATTATGCAACAGTTACTATATACCAAGCCAATATTTGACGTTTAATAAAAGTTTAATTAAAATAACACAAGTTGAAATGGAACCTGAAATTGATTCATTCTGGCATGAATCATTTTCCAAAACTGTGAGCTTTACAATATTGCTTCCAAGGGTGAAGGAATGATCCAAGCTGCTAATTACATTTCTAATAATATTTAGATAATAAATTATTTGTTTTAGCAATAAGGAATGGATTAATATAACAACAAGAGATCTTATATCAGTTTACTGTAAATGTAACATTGGGACTATTCTTCAACTGAAATTCCAGTTGTTGCATATCTGTTATTTCATCTAAATTCTTCATCCATGCAATCATATAATTGTTAACTTTTTGGTTTCCGAATCATAATCAACAATTTATAAATAAGATCCAGCAGATGTTCCAAGTTACATGTTATAGGATTTTCAAATCTAGTACTTTTAGTACTGTTATTTATTTGAAGATAATGAAACCAATCAGGTGAACTAAACTATTGTGTCTCAAAAGATATACCGTATTTTTCGGAGTATAAAATGACTTTACCCCCTAAAAGAGGGTGAAAATTTGGTGTGTTTTATACATAGAATATAGCCCCACCGTCGGCCCCCACCCTTTGGCCTCTGCCTCCCAGCAATTTAACTCCTTGCAGCAAATAGTTTCAGCTTCAGCACAGACTGATTAGCACAAGCATTGATTGTTGGTTGGATCGGCCTCCCGACCCTCAGCTGTTTCAGGCTGTTTCAGATTGCCATTGCCGCCTCCACACGCCCCAATTTCGGCCTCCGCTGTTTGCTGCAAGCAGGCAAATTGCTGGGAAGCAGATTTTTTTTTTCTTGTGCTAATCAGGCTCTGCTGAAAATGAAAATGAAACTAAAGCAGGTTGTTTGCTGCAAGGAAGAAAATGGCTGGGAGGCAGAGACAGATTTTTTTTCTTGTTTTCCTCCCCCCAAAAAGGTATGTGCATCTTATAGTCCGGAGCATTTTATACTCTGAAAAATATGGTAATCTTATTAAAAATCAAATCTTACAATCTAAACTACTGAACAAATATGTGTTCTCACTATAAAAACAAAGCAAGCAAGAAGAAATCTAGACTTATTTCTTTTCCCATATTTATCCTTGGCATTAAATACCTTCCTTATTATTTCATGATCTTTTATAAATTGTTTAGTATTTATGCAGGCTGCCTGAAAGTCCCACTGTTTACATAGAGGTAACCAAGGTATGGGATGGTTATCTTTCCTAGGCTTGCTTTCCCTTTGAGGGATTGATTTAACATGAACTTAATCATTTCTATGTAAAATTTTAATTGAATGATGAAAATGTGTACTTTCTTTGATTATATACCACAGTACTTTGGATTTGATTTATTTTTTTTATTTCTTTCCTGATTTTGTTCAGTTATTATGATTTTAAAATTGTGTAGCTTCCTTGCTAAATAATGCTATTTATCAAGTGTGATTTATAAATGGTTATCAATATCTGAAATAGTTTGAAATGCTGAAGCTGTTAGTTGTTGATGCCTCGTAAGAAATTATCTAACAAGAACAAACCACAATGAACATTGGATCAAAGATATTTAAGACTTGGTATCTCTTGGTATCAGATTGGTAAAAGTTCCACTTGCACATACATGCTAGTCATTCCTGACTCTAGGGGCACTGCTCATCTCAGTTTCTAAGCCAAAGAGCCAGCACTGTCTGTTAACGATTCTGTGTTATGTGGCCGGCATGACTAAACACCGAAGGTGCACGGAGCGCTGTTACCTTCCCACCAAGGTGGTTCCTATTTTTCTACTTGCATTTTTACATACTTTCGAACTTCTAGGTTGGCAGAAGCTGGAGCAATTAACGGGAGCTAGGGATGCTAGGGATTCAAACTGCCAACCTTTCTGATCAACAAGCTTAGCGTCTTAGCCACTGAGCCACCGCATCCCCTTTTGGTATCAGTTTGTTCCAAATTATATATCTTCTCTGTTCTCCACCTGAAATCTAAATGTAATTCATGTGCAGATTTGAGTTTATTAACCTGTACTCTTAACCTTCCTGCAGATACAGACCACATAATCCATTTCATTTATAATTCATTTCATTTATAATCTGCTCTTTTTTCAGAGGTTCACAACCATGTGAGACAAGGTAGGCCAAGAGTGACTGGCCGAATTAATCCTTTCTGGGTTTGAATTTGAATGGAATCTCCTTGATCTTAATGGCTGGAATTGAAAGGTTCAGAGGAAGTGAATCCAAAATCCCTCTATGTAATAGTTCCCCATACATTCATGTTGAAAAAGGGGGAAAATATTTGCAGAGGCACATTCTATTCTCAGATAATGTAATCTTTCTCATCTCCAGAGGAATAGTTGCTGTAATTCAGCAATTGATGAGTTAACTTTTATTTTCTGTAAAATTGGGTACATTTTCTGATTACTAAGACTATATAGTTACTCACAAAAGTCCCACTTTTTATAGGAACTTAATACCAGTGGTGGAATTCAATTTTTACTACCAGTTCTGTGGGCATGGCTTGGTGGGCGTGGTGTTGCTTGGTGGGAGTGGCTTAGTGGGAGTGGCAGGGGAAGGATACTGCAAACCCTCCATTCCTACCCCACTCCAGGGTAAGGATACTGTAGAATTTCCATTCCCACCCCACTCCAGGGGAAGGATACTACAAAATCCCCCTTCCCTCCCCACTCCTGGGGGAAGGATATTGCAAAATCTCCATTCCCACCCCACTCTGACGCCAGCCAGAGGTGGTATTTTCCGTTTCTCCGAACTATTCAAAATTTCTGCTACCAGTTCTCCAGAACTTGTCAGAACCTGCCGAATTTTACCCCTGCTTAATAGCCAACTAGCAGATATAATTTAATTAACTCTGATTAGTTACATTATTAGCAAGGAGAAGAGGAAGAAACATTAAAATTTTTTACTTTAACTCCATCTACAAAATCCAGTAGTCAAAGCATACTTTTTACTCAGATATCAAAAAATAAGCACCATGGTTAAAGAAATTGCAGAAACAAGGACTGAGATTTGAAACCTTCAATATCTTTTTATGTATTTAATAAATCATGTGTTTCTGTTGTTATGATACAATTTATGATAAATTATAAAATCAGACACAGGAGTGATAGATCTATTACAGAAATGATCTATTTTCTGAGTGGTAGCCATTTTAATTACTAATTTCACAATTTAGTTTGGGTTTCAAGAAGCTAACTGTTAAAGAGATGAAAGTCACCCAATACACATTTTTATAATATGACATGCTTTAAAAAAAAGAAGAAAAGCAAACCACTTCAGAAACTTATTGCTCACAAAATGTATAAAACTTCACGGACAGAAATAAAACCATACTCTTTACATTGGATAAGCAAGATGGCATCTCTAGATATTTAACATAATAATTTACATAACTTGAAACCACTATCCTGCTCAAAACAATAGTGTTGCTTTCAATTATGGATTATAGTCCCATTTCTCTGAAAGTGATTGCCAGCCAACAGAATACTTCGTGAATTTTATCTTCCGATTCATTTGAAACTGCCACCTACACAAACTTTCATAATTAAGTATTGGCAAGGGAGAAAAATTGACATATCCCTATACTCCTCTATAATTCTGCCTATAGGACCATTGTGTGATGTTATATTAGGCAAAGCACTGAAATACCATTTTTGTCCTAGCATTAGTTAGTGTTCATATATCAACACTAATATTTGGGTATTTTCCGTTTTTGTTCACCTTCTTTTTCTTTCAGTAGAATCTATCGCCACAAAACTGAGGTTGTTTCAGTTACTAAATCATGCAATTTTATGTATTGACCTGGGATGGAAACATGGAACAGAACTCAAAGAAATTTATGTGAGTAAATATCTAAATTTACTTATTAAGGGACATCATAAGACTGCACTTTTTCATGTTAAATTGTTTAGCAACAAAATCTATCCTATGTAACTAACTGCAATTATCCCAACAAGGCTTCATAGCCATTCCTTTTAATGAACTAGTAATACTATATCAGGATTTTTTCTGGCTCTATTCCACCAAAATGGCTTTGGAATTTTTTTCAAATTCTGGAAGAGTTGAAAGATGTTAACAGACTCTTAATCTACTATGGGATTTGTTTTTTTTTTTTAATTGTACCACTGTAGAAAATCAAGCGCTTAAAATTTACTTTACATTCATAGCATGTAGAATACCTAATTGTAAAACAAAACAGAAACAATCCCACGTAGTGCTTGGGAAACAAAATTCAGAACTCCCAACCCAGTAAGGAAGCCACTCCATGAAAAAGAAGTCTTGTATCCCTATCCTAAGTACCTTTAATTAACAGGGTGTATTTTCCCCCAATAGCCTTGTCTATCAAAATGAAAGAGGAAGCTTCATCCATTTCACATTTCCAGTATTCTTAGTTGGAACATTTTGACTGCTTACTTTCCAGAATGTTCCATGTGTTTATGTGCTATCTTTATCACATCTGCCCTACCATCAGATCTACAGAACCAGCATGGAACTTTCTTCAGTTTTTTTTACTCTATATTTTAAATCACTCAGCAATTTTTCTGCTGCCATATTGTTCATTTTGACCACACTTAAACCTTCAAAAGAGTGATCTGAAATCAGTTATATGATTATCACTAATTATAAAAAGGATTATTAAAAAATTATATTGCTTCAGTTCTAGGATTGAATAGATCATAGTAACAAAAAAGAAGAACATGTTCCAAAGTGATCCAATTCAGTTGGTAATTCATTACCTTTTTATAGGAATGTTCATAATTTGTAGGTTGATCAACTGCCCTGTTAAAAGCTATAGTGATCAGGTAATTCTGATTAATGTTTATTATTTCTCTTCATGCAGAGTTTCAAGAATTACTGTAACAATAAAGAACAATAAAGAAAAATGTTCACAAGCTCTGTTTATGATACCAGGAGATTAATAATCTTATATATTCTATCTATTTCAATAGCTGTAGACTGCATTCTTAACAAACAAGAATGGAAATTTAATGAACACACCAATCTACAGACCTTTACACTATCCCTCTTGTTTATACAAAACAGGTCTTTAATTCTTTTATGTATTTTTCAAAATGCATTTTTATTGGTATGACCATGCGTAGAATCTGATCATAATAAAAGCAAGAGAATACACCCCTTACAATAAGCCCATATATTTCTTCTTGTGATCTTTACCTTAGATTTCAAAGGATTTATTTATTTAGATTTATAACAATACCAAGATCTCTGCATGTCAGTAAAGGAAGTAGACATGAATCTGTTGAAAAGTTGAGAAAATTAAAAATGTATAAAGTTAAGCTACTGAGGAAAAAATGTTAAACATGCAGCACACTGTTATTTTTACTATGACTTTCCAAAACCATAAGCACCAGATTTCAAATAAATTGCAATCGTTAATTAATACAAATTTTTATCATTAATTCTTCATTATAATAATTTTTTAAAAAGTAAAGAAGAATATTACTTAGGAAGTTCAGGAGCTCTTTAAACTGTTATACCTCTACAGTTCAGAAAATTTTTTCCCAATTTAGAGCCCATGCCCATTTTGTAATCTTAAAGTTAAAATCCATTGCATCTGGAGATAACAAGTTTGGAAAACCGTCATTTGGAAGTATGTATGTAAATACAAATATACTGGGTTTTCTTTAAACTCTACTACTGCACTTTTTAAAAAGTAAGTTATATATAAATTATAAAAAAAAAAAATTCCACTGTATTTGAAAAGATAGGAAATCTTGGAGTTAGCAGTGACATTAGAATACAGAAGTGAGTGAGATCATGATTCATGATCTTTGATTAAACTCATGTATTTGATTAATCTGAAAGAAGCTCTAAATACACGTTTTTTTTAACAATGTCTCTAGTTAAAAGTCAATAGAGAGTTCACAAGTTTTCTTCCCGTAAAAACTGGAATACAGATGAGAAGTCTTTTTGGGCATAGCCCTTGGCACACATGATCCTGTAAATCTGATGGGCTAGGGATCCAAGCGGGACTGGAGACTTGGTGTTGGTGGCAGAAATCTGGGCCAAGCCAAGATCCTAAAAATAAGGAAAATATTTTGAGTGGGAGAATGAAAAAAACATATTTATTATAGAATAATATCTATTACCAAATATGACAGTAATATTGAAGTCTACTATTCCTTAGGAAATGATTTAAAAGTGTATGAAAGGACTTAGGTTCAATATATAGACAGAGCTAGAAAAATTCCTATTGAAAACTGGAAAGTTTGCTCATGGCCACTCATGCATTAGATGAAATGAAATGTCGCCACTCCTGTTCAACATTTATGTGAAGCCACTGGGTGAGATCATCCTTGGATTTGGGGTGCGATGCCATCTGTACGCTGAAGACACTCAGCTGTACATCTCCACCCCAACGATGCCCTTGAAGTGATGTCCCAGTGTCTGGAGGCCGTGTGGGTCTGATGGGGAGGAACAGGCTTCGACTCAACCCTTCCAAGACCGAGTGGCTGTGGATGCCGGCATCCTGATATAGCCAGCTGGCGCCATCACTGGCTATTGGGAGCGAGTCATTGACCCCCACAGAGAGGGCTCGCAACTTGGGCGTCCTCCTGGACACACGGCTGTCTTTAGAAGAGCATATGACGGCCATGGCCAGGGGGGCTTTTTATCAGGTTCGCCTGATACGCCAGTTACGCCCCTTTCTGAGTCGGGATTCCTTATGCACAGTCACTCATGCTCTCGTCACTTCTCGCCTGGACTACGCTAACGCTCTCTACATGGGGCTCCCCTTGAGGAGCACCCGGAGGCTCCAACTGGTCCAGAATGCGGCCGCGCGGGTGATTACGGGAGCGACATGGCGCTCCCATATAACATCTCTCCTGCGCAAGCTGCACTGGCTCCCGGTGGTCTTCCGGGTGCGCTTCAAGGTGTTGGTTCTCACCTTTAAAGCGCTCCATGGCTTAGGGCCAGGGTATTTATGAGACCGCCTGCTGCTACCGATAACCTCCCACCAGCCAATACACTCTCACAGAGAGGGCCTCCTCAGGGTGCCGTCGGTCAAGCAATGTTGGCTGGCGGCCCCCAGGGGGAGGGCCTTCTCTGTGGGAGCACCTGCCCTCTGGAACAAGCTACCTCCCGGAATACGGCTGTTTCTGGATCTCCGCACTTTCCGTAAGGCTCTGAAGACGTTTTTATTTCAGCAAGCCGGCCTGGCCTGAATAGGTTTTAAGGGTTTTTTAATTGTATTGCTAGGGGTTTTAAATTGGGGTGGCCATTTAATTTAATTTATTCTTAATTATTTTAACTTTTATATTGCATGTTATTTTAATTCTCGGCTGTTCACCGCCCTGAGTCCCTTCGGGGAGAAGGGCGGGATATAAATTTAATAAATAAATAAATAATAAATAATGGATAAAATGAAATTAGATTAGTTGGATTCCTGCCAGAGGTGGGTTGCCCCGTTTGCACTGGTTCTATAGGACCAGTAGTAAAATCGGTGGAAGGCTCTGCCCACCGACCCCGATGTCATCAAAATGCTTCTGCACTTGCGCAGAAGAGTGCACGTGCAGCCCTGCTGCGAACCAGTAGTAAAGCTAAATAGAACCCACCCCGATTCCTGCAATGAATTCTATGTGGACATCCTTCTGAAGACCACCAGATGTGCAACTGGTCCAGAATGCAGTGGTGCATACAGTTCTTGGTACCTTGTGGTTTGTCCAAGTTAATTGTTTTCATGTGAGCTGCACTGGCCCCCAGTTGCTTTCTGCATGGAATTCAAGGTGCTGCTTATCACCTTAAAGCTCTATATGGCATTATTTGCCAGATTGCCTTGTCTTCAGAATATTGGCACATCCTATTATGTCAGATAGAGTGGATATACTCCAGGGGTGGGTTCTAAATTTTTTTACTACCAGTTCTGTGGGCGTGGCTTGGAGGTCATGTGACTAGGTAGGCGTGGCTAGCTGGTCAGAGTCATTTTTGGAAGGTCCTCGCACTTATGACCAGTCCTCGCACTTACGACCCAACTCATTTGTTTGCTTTTAACACTGATCAGCTGTAGGACGGCCCTTTGAAGCCCTGCGGCAAGAATTTAAACAGTTTTTTTCCCTCTAGTCATCAGCTGGGATTCAGGAGGCAGCAATAGATTGGGGGTGGGACCAAATAAAAGGTAAGAATAACGTGGGTGGGTGGGTGGGTGGGAGGGCAGGGGGGGGGAGAACCGGTTCGGTGACGTCATATCGTCACCACTACCGGCTCGGCCGAACCGGACCAAACCAAACCGGGAGGAACCCATCACTGATATACTCCATGTCCTTTCTCTTAAATGTTAGTAGATATGTGCCTTCTTGGTAGAAATCCCAGATTAGAATAGCTTCCAACCAGAGATATGAGAAGTCTAGCTTTCCAGAAGGCAATGAAGACTTGAATTTGCTAGTTCTAACCATGCTGTTTTACGTAGCACAATCATTTCTGGAGAAAACTGGAATAATGGACATATCTCTGAAGGAAAGTAATGTGATTGTCAGCTTCAAGGTAAATCAGACTAGGAATTCAATGTCATGTAAGCCAGTACTAGTTTTATTGTAAAGCTATAATAACAGAATCTTGCAAGACTCCCTGCCTCTCTTTATTGTTGTGAGAACCAAGGAGAGGCTTGTTTGAGATGTTTATTCAGGTTGCATTCCTACCCTGAATCCAATCCTCTTTTACCTAACTATTGTTTTGGTAGAAGCTTTTCAGAAAACCAGCAGAAAACCTGCAGAAGACTAGCATGACAAAGTTTACCTAGTTAGATCCCATGGAATGAGACCTTCAATATCAAAATGGAATAAATTTTCTCACGTTGAATGTATTCAGAAATTGGGTTGGTGTAGCAAAACATTCCCATAATTGCTTCAAGGTGAGGTTTTATACATATACACACACACACACACAGACACAGACACAGACACAGACACAGACACACACACACACACACACACATATATTGCTCCTGGAAGCACGAAGCCGAGAACACCAGCCTGAAGATGACGAATGAGACTTCGTCGAAACGTCGCCAAGACACTTCCAATTTTACGTGGGAGAAGACCCGAATAACCTTAGGAAGCTATACAGAAAGAAATATAGATTGGGATCTGAATAATCTAATTTTTCTTAACTAAGAGTTTTAGCATGAATTCTCATTTGTTAGGCCTGGATCTTAGATAACTTATTGTGGACACTCTTATGCAATGGTGGCTGCTTTGTATCCCCTAATACAGAGGTGTCAAACTCAAGGCATGGAGACTGAATCTGGCCCATGGGGTACTTAGTTCTGGCCCGTGGGGCTGCCCTGGAGACAGCAAAGGACTGGCCTGCAGTGAAAATGGAGCTCAGGAGGGCTACATACGGTTGCAGAGGCTATCACAGCCAAAAATGGAGCTTGCAAGGGCCACAGGCAGCACTCTCAAGCTATTTTCACTGGCAGAAGGTTGCACAAGGCCGTTACAGCCAAAAATGGAGCTTGGGAGCCCATTTTTGCTAGCAGAGCGCTAAGGCCCCCAACATGACTGTCATTGAGCTGGCCACGCCCCCAGGCCCCCCAAGGTCAAACACAACCCTGATGCGGCCCTCAATGAAATTGAGTTTGACACCCCTGCCCTAAAACAAACACCCAATTTATCAAAATGCTCCCTGCTATCCTCTACTAGAAATGTCATAAGATTATGCTTATGTGGAGCCTTTGAGGGGCAGACAAAGAAAGCATTAGCTGCAAATACACCTCAACCTTATGAGTCCATTTTGGAATTTCGCATTTAGCAGCATGCTAACTTCCTATTTTATAAAATTAAAATACATTAATTTTTTTACTGACTGTAAAAAAATTAGAGTTAGTAAAACTAATTTTGGGCTTACTGACATTCTAAAACAATACAATGTGCACCTCAGATTCTAATATTATTTTTAAAAAATTTCATATTTTTAATTAATTTTCTTGCATTGCTGTTTAGAGAAAATTCCCAAAAAATTTCAAATAATGTGAACTAAACATACACACATATATAAACATATGCACATTAACTGTAGATCAAAGAAAAATAGCAAAATATATTAAACATTCAGAGTGAAATCATCAAATTATATAAAAAGGTAAGAGTTTGTCTAACACAGACAAATGTAAAGGGGGACATATTCCCTCAAAAAAAAAAAATCTAAACATGAAGATCCATTATATCCAAACATGAAGATCATTTTATTTTAATTTTTTTTTAAAGGTAATTTTTCAATATTGTATAATGAGAGTGTATTGCACTTAAAACTGGAAGTTTTTGTGTATACGTGATATACTAAACAGAGTAATGATGGGCCACAAAATATAAAGAAATAGACATTAATTCATCTTAGGTATGTCAGTGTAGTGGAGAAAATTCTACATATCAACTTGAAGTTCAAAGGAAATACTCAAAGGAAACATTTGTTTGAAACAAAGTAACTCAGTTTATTATACCAATATATGTTATTTTTGTATGCATATAGATACATACCTTTGCCATAAGGGTTGTTCCAAAGCCACCTTGATAATTATTAGCAGAAGGTACCCCTTCCATTACTCCTGGCACAGGGTTGTATATATCACTTGACCAACAACGGCCTGAACTCATATTTAAAATTTTGGCCAGAAGCTTTGGGTCAAGCCCTAACCTGTCAAAGGTCAAAAGAAGAGAAGTGTTCATGTCAAAATGCACATGTCATGGATGACTTCTTTTTATATGTTGACACCATGTTGTCATTTCTCTACATTCACTGGGAGACTTGAAAAATGACCTAGAGCGGTGATATTGAGAGGAAAACTTGTCTTTATCATCAATCCTTCATACTGGTCATGCATGCTAATTATCAGATGAATTGCTAGACACAAAATAAAGATTCTTCAGAAGTAATAGCTCCCTTTGGTCATTCTATATAAGAAAATGATTCAAAAGGTATTGTCAGAAGCATAAGCTACTATATTAAGACAAAGGGAAATTCTCCTACAGTAAGCTTCCTTTTTTATCAAACAGTTATTATATTCAGATGTTCGAGAAATAAGTCTACTGTGACATATGTTCCCTATCTATTCAGAGACATGCATTACCGTTCTGGGTCAACTGCTGAGAAAGTTACAGATCTTGATAAAACAAAGCTTGTCCAAGCAGAAACATCATTTGTTCTATTGCTCTCACCAACTGATGGCACAAACCCCAGAGCAGTTGAGACAGACTGAAAACATAGTGGAAAATATTTCAGCAGATTAGGCTTTTCTTTTTTTAAATAATCAGGCATGACAATGGCTATCAGCTTAACTGTGTGCAATTTCATAATTATACTCCTTAAAATGAAAAGCAAGAACATTTTAAAATTGAAATATAACTAACTATACAAATATAAGCAAATAATTATAGAAAGGAAATGGGATAGGATGCAATCCAACACATAAACCCAAAGGAAAGTAAATGAATTAGGCGCTTACTTCTAAATGTACACATTTATAATTTACTTCAAAAAAAGCAATGTATTCACACATAGTATTAATGCAAAATAGTAATGAATGGAAGTAAAGTTACAATGAAAACTTCTTCCACTATTACACTGCTTGCAACAAAATAATGCCTTCTTACTTTAAAAAGATGGATTTTTCAGTGACTATGTTTATAGCATGCCATATAAGAAGCAGCAACACTGAAATACTAGAACGATAAATTATATTAGCCCTTATTCTAACAATTTATTTTTCTACCTTAAATGTGTGTTGCCTATGGCTTGATTTCCTATTATTTTTTCCAATAGAAAGAATATTAATTATACCTTGTTGCTATTGTTCATAATCAATGATACTTTTCACTGATGAGGGTGCTTTACAAAAATTATCAATATAAACTAGAAAGAAAGTCATGATCCATAAGAAAAAATAAACACTATGCAGAAAATTTTGGTCGTTGTTCCTACCAGTTCTGAAAAACATTCTGAAAAGAAATTACTTCTGGAATTTCTTTCAAAGGACAGAATTGAGTGGAACATGGTATTCTTGTGCTTTATAAATTATAACGTAGTTAAAGAGTATGCTTGTATATTACTGTTCATTATAACCTAAACAGTCTGAAGCTTTCCTTGCTGGTCATTCTTCAATTAAATCCCCAAAGAAAACATTTTCAGATAATTTCTTCTATTGGCCTTTTTCATATTGGAAAGCCAGAGAGATTACAGTATGGTAGCAAGATCTATAACAAAATATCAGCAGTAGTAAAGTTCTTCACTGCCACTATTTATTTACTAAATGAAACTCACTACCATTAAGTACTTCATTAAAAATAAAATTAGAGAATAAAATAAAAGTCTTTTTTTGAGTGTAGAATTTTTTTCAGAAATTGCAAGACAGATATAAAAAGCTCTTTATCAAATGTCAGAAATGTTCCAGGGTTTCCTCCTTGTGTAAGAAAATTTGATGAATGAAGCCCTAGGTTTGGCAAAGTTTCCCCTGTCCCACATTGCCCCTTCTTCATTCTAATAAAGAGAATTTTAAGAGGAATCCTTGTGAAGATTATCTAAATGAATAGGAAGCATATGCTAGTATTGATGGATATACCTTTCAAAGGCCCATTGAAATGGACTAGTGCATGTGAAATGCAGTCTTAAATGTTCAGCTCCAGTAACACAAAACAGATGCCAAGTTAAGGATGGATCCCACAAAAGGAGCCTTATCTTAAATGTATATAACACCACAAAGCCTGTAAATGGCTTCCTGTTTACATTTTATTTATTTCTTTAATTTATTAACTGCCTAGTACCAAAATGCTCTGCACTTAATAATAATTTATTAAACTTGTATGGCATCAGACTCCTAATGACTCCATATCAACACAGTTCAAGGACCTCACAAAATTATAAATATCTAGATACCCATAGTTAAATTAGTGGATTGGAATGTTAATTTAGCATGACCTGAATACTAATAAGCACTTCGAGATATCAGGATCCTTTCACTCAAGTTTGCAAATTCAGAATTTATCTGTTAACATCATATTCTTTTCCAGAACCAAATTCTATTGTAAAAGGAATTTAGACACCGAAGACACTTATAGTGAATTGCAGGACTTAGCAACATGATATCCAAGGTCAACAAAAAAATTATAATTGTCTGTCAATAATGCTTGTGAACCTCCATAATTTACTGCTTTTTAAAAAAGGATATACTTTCATGACAGGACCAGATTGTATGTTAAATTTGGATTGTTTTTTCTGAGATTTTGTATAAGATTGAAATCTTGTGTGAGATTTCATAGGATAGGAATCACATGAGATTTTGTTAATTGAAGGAGGGAGGGACAAAACATGCCTAAACCATATGTGAAATCATGCAATGTACCAATACATTCTACCCATGGTCTTATGTTTACAGCACAGTGAAGCCCTCATTAGAAATATGTAGCCTTCGGCCAAACAATATCACTAGGAATACTTTTATAAGTGTACTTAATTTAATATACACTTGAAAATCACAAGGCGATCTAGATATAGTCAACGTATTTCTAATGCTGGTAGAAAGAAAAGGTAAAAAATAAAATCACCTGATGCAGTTTCCTTCAAGATACTCAAGACCCTTCTTCTCCCTCCCCTTCCCTTTTATATCTTGTAGCAAGTATATCATTAAAAGGAGCAAGTTGGAAGTGTTTTGCATTTTATCTTTCTGAGGATTCACCTACTGGTGCGTAGATAACTGACAGCTAGAATTAGACAAGTATAAAAATCTGTTACTGCAGAAGTCCTCTGTCTTCCACTGTGCCCATAGCTGGTAATGGTTTGAAAGCAGATAGAATATACCGTAATTGTCATTCAGTAAGAGTCTATCCTCAAAAGTCATGCCTCAGTGGAGAAGACTGAGTTTCCATTTGAAATCAACAAATTAATCCAAGACAGGTATCTGAAAGGGCAAGCTTAATAGGAAGCAGCTACGGGGCTCTCAACCATGATAAAATGTTATTGCTGTTTCCCTGTAAATTGGTTCAGAACATAGAATACTTTCTGCATAAGAGCTCTATTGCTGTTCAAGAGATATACTGCTCAAACTATCAAAACAATGACAGTCAATCCACATAATAACTTGCCATTGGACATGGCAAAAGAATGAGCATGCACACATACATTTTACAACTGCCAAGGTGTTCCACATTTTGGAGTCTGGAGAGAAAGTAGGAATTGGGACACAAAATCAACACTCAGCTTTTAAATGCTTCAAAGGCAATTTCCCCCCTCCCTTAGGTTTCATGTTTTAGTTGTAAAATGTCAAAAAGCATGAGACCCCAGATAAATCCAGAAGTGACCAGGTTCAGACATTTGTGCTAGGATAAGGCTTGTTTTAATCATGGGTGGTTTAATAACCAATAATTGGATGAAACTTCACACCTTTTGCTAAGGCATAAATGATTTTGAAAAGAGTTACATGGATTCATGCAATACTTCAGTCCAAATTAAACAATCTTATAATAGGTTGTTAGGATAATGTAGGAATTTAAATATTATTATATGGATTATTCAACAGATTATTCAACAGAATTTGTTGAACATTATGCTAGTTACTTCATAGCGAATGTTTGATGATTAAAAAACATAGGTCATACCCTGTTTACCCCTAAATAAGACATCCCCTGATAATAAGCCCAATTGGGCTTTTGAGCGCATGGCAATAAGGCCAAGCACTTATTTCAAAGTTCAAAAAAATATAAGGCAGGGTCTTATTTTTGGGGAAACACGGTACATTTTGGGGGGGCAGGAGTACCACAATGAATGTAACCATAGTGAAAACTGAATAGGGACATATTGCATATAAACAGGCAGGTCTAAAAAAAAATTTATATATATTTTTGAGGGAAATGATAAATTATACTTTCTGTATTTGTTCTGTACTTTAGACATGTCCTATTTCAAAATGATAGAAGCTATATCAAACAAAGAACCAAAAATTTTATTGTAAACTCGCCAGAATCACTTAGATAAGACAAGCAAAATAGAAATGTGGTGGATGAATAAATGGATGGATGGATGGACAGATAAGAGATAATAGATAAACAGATATTATTTACAATGCCACCCACTTGAGGCGCAGTCCAGCCACAATAAAGAACAAAACAGCAGTAAAAATTACATTAAAAGGAATAAGATTAATATATGCTAATATACTTGTATATATTATATGCTAATATACTTTAGAAAATACAAAAAAATGTTATCAAAGGCAATGGTCTTGTAAAGTTGTTCACTTATTTTACACAGAATTCCTAACAAACAGGAAGCAGCAGGTGAAGCTAAGCAGAATCGCATCAGATACCTGTACAATTAGCACAGGGGCCTCCAAGGCTGTGTGCTCTTCCCACTTCTCTCTGTATACCAATGACTGCATCAGTGGTGGGTTGCCCCTGTTCACACTGGTTTTATAGAACTGGTAGTAAAGCCGGTGAGAGGCTCTTCCCACCGACCCTGACGTCATCAAAACGAGCGAAGCCAGCAAGCAAGCGCGGTCCGCTGCAAACCGGTAGTAAAGATAAGTAGAACCCACCCCTGGACTGCATCTCTAACAATCCATCTGTTAAACTACTGAAGTTCACAGATGACACAACAGTGCTCAGTCTCATTCGAGACAATGATGAATCTGCATACAGATACGAGGT